AGATGAGTTCTCTGTGACGGTGAAGAGCACCGAGATTCCGCAGCTGACGACGGCCTTCCTCGTGAACCACTCAGCCGTGACGACGACACCGGCCTCTGCTCTTGCTGTTGCCGGTGTTTCTGCCGTTAAGTGCAGCACTTCACAGCCGGTCACGGTCACCTTGACCACCACTACCACTGAATCAACACCGCCACCGCCACCTCAATCACCCTCATCTTCACCCTCATTTCCACTTGAGACGGCCGTCAGACTAAAAGATGGACGCTTGAACGGCACCACCAACATCACCAGCTTAAGTGCACCAGCAGCAGCAGGTGTCAATGAGGCATCAATTAGCACAACAACTGCAGCGGTGGCGGCGGCAACATCAACTAGCACCACAGTTCCGCCAGTGGAGACGACTTCTGCGGCAATAACAGAGTCTACAGCAGCAGCAGCATCATCATCACCAGCAGTGAATGTCACTGTCACAGATGAGAGCCTGATGAGCGGCGCTTCATCGATCAACAGCAGTGTGACACAGCAGCAGCAGCAATCATCTAGTGTCGCATCGCATTCACCGACAGTAATATCGATGATACCAACACCACCGCCGCCACCGCCATCATCAACATCATCACTGCCGGAAGAGAGCAGCATCAACACAGCAGTTGCACTTACTGACAACAGCAGCAGCACAACTACTACGGAATTATCACCAACAGCAGTGAACGGTACAGTGGTGAGCACTACCACCATCACGACCGGGAAATCCTCAGACTTACAAACAAGGAACAGCAGCAGCAGCACAGCAGGAACAGTCACGACAGAGGCGACCCCGGTACTTCCCGATGGCAGTATTAGTACTACACTTGCAGAGGTACCCCTTGAAGTGACCACAACTAGCACTTCACTGGCCAAAGACGATGATCAAACAGAGACTGCTTCTGCCCTGCTTGAGTTGACAACACTGCCCTCTTCAGCGATTGGTGATGGTGATGAGTCATCCTCGAGGGTCACTACCACCACCACCACTCAACAGGTGGTTAATGAGAGGACAGTCGCTTCTTCAGAGAGCAGTAAAAACGAGCAATTAGACGATAAAGAAGCGGCGGCGGCGGCTACTACGACAATCATCAGCGTGGAAAAGGGCACTACAGCAGCAGCGGCAATTAGAAATGAAAACTCAGAAAAGGTAGTAGTGGTAACTGCTGCTGCTGGAGTAGTAGGTGCACTGGCAGCTCCACTGGCCACTGATGCCAGCTCGGTGCAGGAAAGTGCTACTACTGAGCAGCCCACTTGGGGGGCCAACCTTGAGACCACCACCACCAACACCCTCACTTTGTCAAGTGAAAGTTCCGAGCAGAAGGAACAGCAGCAGACTGACCTGGCAGCTGAAAAACAGACAGTGGCGGTGGCAGTGAACGAAACCACTGAAACCAGTGCACCTGTCATTGAAGAGACAGCCACAGTCGCCAGTATTTTCTACATCCCCAATGAGATCTTCACATTTGCCCCGGCTGCGGCAGAGGAACCATCACCTCAGTCGCTGTTTACCACCACTACTGTCACTTCAACTTCAGTTGAAACAGAAATACCGGAAATAGTCACCTCCGAACTCAAATTGAACTCTACTTCTCCGGTGCAGCACAAGGTCGAGGAGGTCAGCACCGGAGGACCTCCTGTGGACAACCAGGTGACAACCACGATGGCCATCACTCCTGATGTGTCCGCTTCCTCTGCTACAATGGAAAAAAGCACAACAGCTGCTGCTGTTCCCAGTGAGACGACAACAAATGAAACAATCACACGATCAAATGTCACTAGCACCACCTAGATCCCACATCACACAGCACACATCAACAGCGGGGGCAACTACAGCAGCAAAAACTCTTCTTCTTCCTCTTTTGCACAACTTCTTTGGGTTTCTTCACTTATCTTCTT